AAGTAGCAGGATGCATCTTTTGAACCCGATGGAGATATCCAAACTCCATCCTGGTCTCACTACCTGTTGTGCATGACTAATTGTACATGGCAAGAGCTTGACTGAGGCAAGTGGCTCAACTCTGAGCCACATAGCAGCTTAAAGCTTAAAAAAAAGAAAAGCTAGATATAATATTGCAACATTTTTGCACCCCTTCAGATCACATCCCAGGAGCTGGGTGTTAAGAGGGAGAGCTTTGATGTTTCAAAGCTCTGTTTGTCAGTTCTGATATCAATTAACTTGTACCTGACCTTTTGCAAAATTCATCACGCTTATCATTAACAAACTTGCAGAGTGAGCAACATGAAAGCAAGCGAGGGCCATTTTCGTACCAGCAGCGCCTCGTACGAATTAGCACGTAACCTGCATGTCAATTGTCACGTGTGGTGGCTGCACATGTATGCAGTTTGCTGTGCTTACATTGCTCTGTAATCCACTTGAACATGTAGCGAGATTGCAGGCATTATCTTCACTTCGTGCTGTTCCCCCTCCCCCCGCAAAAAAGGGGTGTTTGGGTGTCTCACGGCAATGAGAACAATACATCACAGTTGTGCTAACTGATGGCAAGTGATGGCAATGTAAATGAATAAGCTGTCACAATAAGTGCTGGAAAATTGCCAAAAGAAAGGAGAAAATGCTGAGAAAATGCTGGCGTTTTTCTTTGTTGTCATTCTTTGAATAACCAGGGGTCAGCTATATAGGCATAATACGCATGTGCCTAGGTAAAGGTAAAGGACCCCTGACAGTTAAGTCCAGTTGAGAACGACTCTGGGGTTGTGGTGCTCATCTCACTTTACTGGCCGAGGGAGGTGATGTTTGTCCGGAGACAGTTTTTCCGGGTCATGTGGTCAGCTTGACTAACCCGCTTCTGGCGAAACCAGAGCAGTGCACAGAAACACCATTTACCTTCCCGCCAGGCGCGGTACCTATTTATCTACTTGCACTTTGACGTGCTTTCAAACTGCTAGGTTGGCAGGAGCAGGGACTGAGCAACGGGAGCTCACCCCATCGCGGGGATTTGAACCGCCGACCTTCCGATTGGCAAGCCCTAGGCTCGGTGGTTTAGACCACAGCGCCACCCTTATCCCACACATGTGCCTAGGACACCAACAAAACACACACAGTGATAAAAATAAATAAATGACATTTGATATTTTTTTTAAAAAAAAAGCAAAGAAGGGATTATCCTACTACTAGATTTTTAAAAATGCAAGAAAATCAGATTCTGGCATGTGTTGCAACAAATCTACGTGTTATTAATGATATATTCTTCTGAGTTATATGTACTTGATTTGTTTTCCTTTCAAATATAGATATATAGTGTATGGTGTGCAATTGGTTTTTTAAACTTCAGATAACCAAGGTAAGAGGCAGGATGAAAAGTAACCAGTAAAACATTACTTTACAGTTTAGTATTGGTTTTATTTTGAATTACATATGGGGGAATTTCCATGTTTAGAGTCCCTGAAGGTTTTAATCAGGGTGTGTGGTGTGTGTGTGTGTGTGTGTGTGTGTGTGCATTGTTTTGTTTGTTATTATGTTGTGTATTTTTGTGGTTTTATACTGCAAACAGCCCTGTGATCCTTGGGTGAAGGGCAGTGTAGAAATTTAATTCATCCTCATCATCCTCATCTGGCCCTGCTCATTCTTCCCTTTGTAAAGAGAGATTATGTAAGATGGTGGCACACCAGTTCAGCTGGCCGCAATTTCCACGAGTGCGACAACACTTATTCCAGGCCCTGCAAGGACGGGAATTGCTGCCAGCTGAATCCATGTGCCACCAGTTCACACAATTTATTTCACCATGTGAGTGTGAAATAGGGACGGACAGACTGCTCATGAAACAGAGGAGAAAGCAGCATGCACCAGTTTCTGATGTTTGCAATACTACAGCAAGATTTCTTGAGCTGCACACAAACATTCATCTTCAGGCTTTTGACAGCTTGGGTCAGCAGCGAACTTTGGGCTCTCAAATTTCAGAAGCGCCCTGTGCGATGCTAAAATTCAACACACACACACAGGGCTCTCTCGCTCTGTTCTACAGCATTGTTTTGGCATCTCCTGCAGCGTGGCTCCCAGAGCCACCGGCCACACCATCCTAAAACCGCCTCTGCTTAGGGGAACCCACAAATTGGTGTGTAATTACGCAACCCCCACAATAATACATAGCTGATGGCAGAAATGCAACGATGAACCCCCAAGCCTCTTATTCTTTAAAGGTGGGGAGGGGACAGGCACATTAAAACAGAGATTGAGATGGATGACCACCTGTGCTGAGCTTAAATTGCAAGCTGCTTGGGGCAGAGACTTGTCATTTTTAAAACACCACACACACACTGTGGGTGCCATATAAATGCTTGCCTTGCGCAGTGTGATGGTTGTGATGGAATGGGGCACCGGGGGCGTAGAGAGACTTTGTGGCTGTTTGGGTGTCTGGAAACAAGGAAGATGGTCAGTGGGTGAATTTTACAGAGTGAAAATACAGCGCCAGATCTTTAGCCACAGGTCTTTAGCAAGTATAGATTTGTGGTAGTTTTCTGTGAAAGTCTAGGAGACTGGAACTGGTGGGTGGATGGGGAGGGGGGTTGTTTTTGCAGGGGGCAAACACTGTGTGAGGGTGCTATCAGCCAGTGTGAAACAGGCTACTCCCAGAATATTTGTGAGATAAGATAATTGTGCAGTTGTAGGTGACGGTATCAGAATCCCAACATTTGCTCTAATTAATGTTATTGCGCCGTGCTCTCTAACTGCAATAAACTTGTCACTCGAAAGATTACAAGCATGCAGCGTTTAATGATATTAATACTAAAATGTGATGCCCAGTTTATTGGGCCGGCATGAAAGAGCAATCAATGAATTTCGTGATAACTATGGATGTGTGAACTGGTCTGTAATTAAGATTTGATTAATCTCTAAAACTCAGTTTAACTTAGATTAGACCTGCATCGATTTGTATTTCTTCACAATTACAGTCTTGGTATAGCAAACTTCCCAGGTCATTATAGAGCTGATTATCACCCTGGAAAGGAATGGCGGGGGAGGGGGGGTTAAATGGATTGAAAGCGAGTGCTGCTACACCTTTCAAAGTATGCAATTGCATATGAAGGATAGAGTAACTACAGGAAAATATAGACTTCATCTAAAAAACCAGTTCACAGCAAATTCCTTTACTGCTGTGTCAACCTGACTTGGCGAGTGAAATAACAGCCATGCATAGCAGCAGCGAGGTAGTGGCTAATTTTGTAGTGGAGGATCTCATCATGGTGGCGCTTTAAAGCGTAGGACCATGCCTGGAAAGATTGGAGGAAAGGTCAGTGCAGATAAGCCGCCAGACGCAAATGTTCTAGATTAATCCAGAATAAAGACTAACCAGAACACATCGAATCCAGAATTGCAAGCATCAATTTATTTTTAACCCCCCACCCCACCCCAAAATGCTGCCCCTTCCTGTTTGTTCCAAACGATGTAGAAAGAAGGGAGAAGAAAGAACCCAAAAGAAATAAGGTGGAAATTAGCCCAAAGGGAGGGATTCGGATAGAATAGAAGGATGCGGAAGAAACTGGGTGTTGCCCATCTGTGGTCCAGATCAAAAGTGGAGAACCTCAGGCCCTCACAGCCACTTTATCTGGTCCCAAGGTCTCCTCTAAGCCACCCCCCCACCGCCCTTTGCTTCACACCACAGGTGAGTTGACTGGTTAGAAGGTGTCCTCGAACTACAATAACGCCTCTTGTTTGCTGGATGGAGGATAGAGACGGGTGTGTGAATGTGCATAAAACGTAAAGGGACCCCTGACCATTAGGTCCAGTCGTGACCGACTGTGGGGTGTGGTACTCATCTCGCTTTATTGGCCGAGGGAGCCGGTGTACAGCTTCCGGGTCATGTGGCCAGCATGACAAAGCCACTTCTGGCGAACCAGAGCAGCGCACGGAAACGCCGTTTACCTTTCCGCCAGAGCGGTTACCTATTTAGCTACTTGCACTTTGACGTGCTTTTGAACTGTTAGGTGGGCAGGAGCAGGGGCCGAGCAACGGGAACTCACCCCGTCGCGGGGATTCGAACCGCTGACCTTCTGATCGGCAAGTCCTAGGCTCAGTGGTTTAACCCACAGTGCCACCCGCGCCCCCGTGAATGTGCATAGAAGCTTGTTTAGTCGTACAAGGGTGAATTTTACATTTGGTCTGGATGACATGGTATTAGATGGAGCAGTGGTCCGCTGTAGAATAAGACAGATCTCTCTCTCTCTCTCTCTCTCTCTCTCTCTCTCTCTCTCTCTCTCTCTCTGTGTGTGTGTGTGTGTGTGTGGTGTGTTTATTCAGTCTAGACAGGGAAACGGGGGAAAGCCAGGCATGCCAGAGTTTTTCAATACGTTTTACGACAAGATCGCAGTGCCAAAAGGAAGAGCCAAATGGCCATCACTGTGGTGTTGCTTTTTGTATCCAGGGAGCTGCAGGAGACTTTAAATAACAGACGGGAGTCCCTTGCTTTCTCAGTGGTCAGCCCTTCCAAGGCTCGTATTGCAAACTGCAGCATTTTGCACTGTTTACACTCCCTCGCTGGAGGAAGATGAAAGCCCATCAAAGGACCAGGAATACAGCAGTTTGACAGGAGATGTAATGCTACACAAATGATTCCATGTGGGCTGCAGAAGGTTCTCACAAGTCAGAGTCCGTTATAAAACAGCACTGTGGAAAGGGAGTTGATTTAAAAGAAAATTAAAAAAACAACCCTGTAGCTCCCAGTCAGTTGTAAACACATCCCCTTGATTAACCTTCTGTCTATTTATTCATCAATTACATTTGAATAAATGTGCTTATTACCAAAAGGTGTATAAAGTGAATACTCAAAAGAAAAGGCCGCTATTAAATATTTTCTTCCCCATCCTACGCGCTAATCACAAACTCATCCTCTAGGAGCCTATCCTTTTGAAGACAAAATGGCATAATCCACTCACAGAACCTGCCCTCCTGTGGCACAGTGGGTCAGTGTGTCTGGCTGTTAACCAGAAGGTTGGTGGTTCGAGCCCACCCAGAGATGGCTGCGGCAGGATTCCTGCATCGCAGAGGGTTGAACTAGATGACCCTCGATGTCCCTTCCAACTCCAGTGTGGTGTAGTGGTTAAGAGTGGTGGACTCGTAATCTGGTGAACCGGGTTCGCTTCCCCGCTCCTCCACATGCAGCTGCTGGGTGACCTTGGGCTAGTCACACTTCTCTGAAGTCTCTCAGCCCCACTCACCTCACAGAGTGTTTGTTGTGGGGGAGGAAGGGAAAGGAGAACATTATGAGACTCCTTAGGGTAGTGATAAAGTGGGATATCAAATCCAAACTCTTTTTCCAGAAGTCTATGACTCTAAGGGAGGTAACAACAGGCTTGGAGGAATTGCAGAGGTAGAGCAAAACTGCAAATGAAATCAGCCTTATCTATGTCGCCTTAGATTATCCCTCCTCCGCAGACACAAGCTGTGTCCACACATTATACCTTTAAAGGACATTTGACACACATTCTAAGAATTGTGGGCACTGTAGTTTTTTAAAGTGTCGCTGGGAATTGTAACTCTGTGAGTTGCAACTACAGTGCCCAGAATTCTTTGAGGGGAAGAATGGGCTTCAAATGTACAGGTGACTCCCCACTTATGTGGGGGCTATGCTCCGGGCCCCCACATGCGTAAGTGAAATGCGCATTTAGTGGGGAGTCTCGTCAGAGCAGGGGACCAGGGTGATTGCCTCTGATTTTATAACAAAAAAGTTCAAAGCTCTTTGGAACCCTACACAACAAAAAGCAGCCCAGACTGTACCTTTGCCTGCAGATCGCCAGAAAGGACAGGGAACAGCGTGTCGTGCAATACGGCTTTTCGTCCAACAGCTGTTGAGCAGAGTAGCCCCGTGGCGGCTCTCTTGTACCATTTTGGAACCCATAATTTTTTTAAAAAGCCTTAAAAATCTCTTCAGGCTCTGGGGTGGGAAGGGGAAGGGCTGCGGCTCAGTGAGATAGCATCTGCTTTGCATGAAGAAAACAACAACAACATACAAAAACTGTGCTGACCTCTGCACCCTCTCCTAGGACCCTCATATCTTACTTCTTGGGCATCCAGGTTAGGATGTGAAGACCCGAAAAGGGGACAATGAACTTTCCCATGATGTTGTTATTGTTGTTGTTGTTAATTAATTTTCTATCACACTTTTCCTCCCAAAGGAAGGAAAACAACAGGTGGCAAACAACGAAGCAACAACATATGCGATCGAAACATATTTAAAATGTTAAGGACATCTGAAAACATTTATGTTTTTAAATCCTTAAGCACATTTTAAGTATACTTGCTGTGACAGACCAGAATCTCTCTCAATCTCTCTCTCTCTGAAGTCTGCAAGCTACCTGGCCTAGTTAGAATTCAGATGCGACTTTACCTCAACATTGGTTTCCTTCCAAGCTGTATTGCAAGCTCGAATTATTAGAATATAAAATGCCACCTCTATTAGGCCACCTTTTTTTGAAATGAAACCATAAATGTCTTTTGAAGTGTTAACAGATTTTACAAGGATCCGAAGGATACAGCCTGTTCATTTTGACATCTCTGTAAAAAAATAGGAAAAATAAATGCTGCCTAGGTTTGAAAAAAAGAGAGGAAATAATGAATAGCGCCTCCAGGGAATTTGTGCATGGTATTCCCTTTGTGGAGATGTGTTGAAAAATATATATTATGCATTCCCAAAAGCTGCCTTTTTTGCGCCTGCTTCTATGGTACTGTGAGAGGCCCACCTGGGTCTACGGGGGTCCGTTGGAAGGACAGTTTTGTATCTCGTGAATATTTATGTAGACATTTGGAGAATACACAATGGTTGGTTCTCTTTGTGTGTGTCCCCATAGTTCTTTTCCTAGGCTGAGGCCTAAGACAGACCAGGCTTGCTTAGGACTCTACCCATCAGCCTGGCATGGTTCCTCAGGTGGTGGCACCCATTCAGGGCCTGATGTTGTAGCTTGTCCTGGGTGCCTGGGCCTGGAAGCCTCTGTCTTGATTCCCCACAATGCCCACAATGCAACACCATCCTGGTGCATTGTGGGGGATTTAAATGGTTTCCACCACCACCACACCTCCACAGTGTGGTTATGGAAAGTGCCATTTTAATTACTCGGAATCTCCTGAAATACTGTCAAGCCACATGAACAACATACAGTCATACCTCGGGTTACAGCCACTTCAGGTTGCGGAAGTACCGGAATGGGTTACTTCCGGGTTTCGGCGGTTGCACATGCGCAGAAGTGCTAAATCGTGCTTTGCGCATGTGCAGAAGCGCCGAATCGCAACCCACATGTGCGCAGACACACAGACGTGGGTTGTGAATGATGCAGGTTGTGAACGCGCATCCCACATGGATCATGTTCGCAACCCAAGCGTCCACTGTGTTGGAATTCTGCCTGGCTCAGAGGGATGTGCCACAGCGTAGGCACCGGCAGATATTCCTGTCGACCTCCCCGCGTCTCCACTCTGCTGATAAGCAGGCGAGGTCCCGGCGATTCTTCTCAGATGTGTGAGAGGAACACACCGTTCTTCCTCTCTCCCCTTTGGTGTCCCCCAGGGAGGGGAAAGAAGCAGACAGAAAACTATTTACATCCTTTATTTCTGCCTCTTATATCAGTACAGAGAATCATGTCTGCACTCGACAACAGTAAGAAGAAACTCCACCCATGTACTTCCAGTATGGGTCATATGACACACACACTGAGCTAACATCCGGTGCTCAGTACAGAATGGACTGCCCCTTTGTTCCCATGGCAACAGTCACAAACATCCTGTCTGGCTTTCCAGCCACAAGCAGCTGACTGAGCTGCTGGAGCCTTTGCTTGCTGCAGCATTGGTGCTTTATGGTAACACACTGTACATTCAAAGCGTTCTTATACCACTTCAACACTCTTCCCAAAGAATCCTGGGAATTGTCGTCTGTTAAGAATGCTGAGAGCGCAATTCCCAGAATGGTTGAACCATGAACCTTGGGGTTGTAATTCTGAGAGGTGGGTCTCCTAAAAAAACTCTCCGCTCCCTTAACAAACTCCATCTCCCAGGACTCTTGGAGGGGTGGAAAGGCATGACTATTGAAGTGGTATGAATGCATTGTGTCCATGTGGCCTGATGTCAGGGGCATTCTGGGAAATTAAAATGTGACCTGGGCCTGTCGAGGGCTTGCAGCCCCCTCAGACAGCCCTGTCTCTCCCATAAGGACATGAGAAGAGCCTGCAGGGTCAGGTCAATGGTCCAAGTAATTCAGCACCCTGTTCTCTCAGTGGCTAGTAGCCATCGATAGCCATCTCCTCCACAAATTTGTCTACCCCTCTTTGAAAGCCATTCAAGTCCCTGCCTCCTGAGGGAGTGAGTTCCAAAGTTTAACATGAAGAGGTGCTGTCTTTTTATCTGCCCTGTATGGTTTGACCATACAGGGCAGACCAAGTAGAGATATCACCTTGCCAACAAAGGTCCATATAGTAAAAGTTATGGTTTTCCCAGTAGTCATGTATGGAAGTGAGAGCTGGGCCATAAAGAAGGCTGATCGCCAAAGAATGGATGCTTTTGAATTATGGGGCTGGAGGAGACTCTTGAGAGTCCCATGGAGTGCAAGAAGATCAAACCTATCCATTCTGAAGGAAATCAGCCCTGAGTGCTCACTGGAAGGACAGATCCTGAAGCTGAGGCTCCAGTACTTTGGCCACCTCATGAGAAGAGAAGACTCCCTGGAAAAGACCCTGATGTTGGGAAAGATGGAGGGCACAAGGAGAAGGGGACGACAGAGGACGAGATGGTGGGACAGTGTTCTCGAAGCTACCAGCATAAGTCTGACCAAACTGCGGGAGGCAGTGGAAGACAGGAGTGCCTGGCGTGCTCTGGTCCATGGGGTCATGAAGAGTCGGACATGACTAAACAACAACATGGTTTGACCAGGCCATGGACGGCAGCTTTCCAGGGCTTGGGTTTTGAAGAGCCGTCATTTCCCCCCGCCCCCCCCCCACTCCAAGAAGGCGGACCTGTTCCCTTGGCCTGTGCCTCGCCTTTGTGCTGTTCTATTGTCTCTCCTAAGCAACCCAGTCAGCCTCCGGCCCAGGGCTTTGCCAGGCCCTATTCATAAGAAAATATTTTCACACAATGGGGCCACGTTGGCTCAGGGAACATGTCATGGGTGTTGATCCGTGAAGAAAACAGGCTTTTTTTTTGGTCTGCGGTATATAAGGAAGAACTTTTTTTTCCAACAGCAGGAACAAAATTGTGTCATGCTTCACGGGATGATTTCAGGGATAAGGCTCTGAGGGGGCAGGGGAAATCAACCAAATAGTATTATTATCATGTGTCTTTAAGGTGTGTGCGGGAGGAGGAGAGGGAAGATGGCAAAGGATAAGATTCCCCTTCCATTTTCTTTTTAACCAATTAACTATCTTGTTCCTAATCGATCAGCACCCTGAGGTGCTGACATCACATCAAGACTGCATGATGGGAAACAGCCCTCAACTGCAGCCAGGGCACCGATGATTTTTGTTTTAACCTTATGGGGCATTTGCGCAAGGTCGGGATGGGGGAAACTTATGACCCTTCAGCTGTTGTTGGACTCCAGTCAGCCCCACAGCCAGCACGGCCGAAGGTCAGGGGTGATGGGAGTTGTAGTCCTGCAACGTTTTGGAAAGTTACAGGTTCCTCATCCGAGGCAGTTCTTTTCCAGGAGGAGGGGAGAAGGAGAAGCTGTGTTTCCTGAAGTTGTGCTTTTTTGAGTGCCCAGCCCACTCTTTGTTCCCACAAAAATCAGTATATGAAAGGAATAATGACTCCTGCTATGCAAAGCAACAGGCTGGGCTTCTTACCGATGACAGGTAGATTTAGTGGCTACTGGGAGGGTCCTATTTGTCGGCATCGGGGGGGGGGGTGGTTGGTTTCGAAGGCCATCAGTGACTCAAGCTTGCAGACTTGAGCACACTTTACTCAGCAGTGTAAACTGCGCAACAGAAGAGGCTTGAGGCTGTGGACACATACTAAACTACGCATTTATTATACATAAATCAGG